ACACAGAGACTTAAACCACAGAAATGTAGCCTTACAAATGCACATTACATTGGCTATAGGCCTACATGAAACGTTGCAGAGCAGTCAGCCTGTAACAGTAAAAAAAAAAAAAAAAAACATTATTCCACGACAACAGAACGCGTGGGTGACTTTCTGAAACCCAAATCACGACTCACTTTAGTGATGATGAGCGGTTCTCCGTGTTCGAGACCTCCTTTCAGCGTGAACCCCCAAGGCGAGCCTCCGTTTAGCTGGACTTGGATATGGTTAAACGACACGAGCTGCTCAACCGTCTCCATTCTAAATCTCTTTTTTGCCGTTATTATCCTCGCCGTAACCGACCGCGAGGAATCACTTTTCTACCGGCGCCGTTTTAGAACTCTGAGTCTCCATCACTGGGTGACCAGCCTACCATCAGAACGGACAGAGGAATGAGTGTGAGAGAGGTGGGGGAGGGCTCAAAAAGTTTGGCTAGTGTTCCAAAACTTCTTCGACGCGTAGGAAGAAGTTATTTCCCAGTCCCACTATTCGAGAGCGAGTTTGATTGATATCTTTCACAGCCAGTCACGGTAGAGCTTGAGCTGTGATTGTCCAATGAGAGTGCCCAGAGGGAGGGACATGTCAAGGGTCAACCGCTGTATTGTATCGCCTGTCTGTGAAAAGAGGCAACTTTATCAAAATAATTGTATCCACTCTGTAGGGTTTCCGCCACAAACGGCACCCTTTACCCTATGTAGTGCACTATTTTTGACCAGGGCCCAGAGGGTAGTGCATTATATAGGTCCTAGTGTGTCATTTGAGACTTAATACCTGTGAATATCCGCTGGTTCATGTGTAACCGGAAACCGCTACTTTAGTAGAGGCGTTGTGAAGCTGTAATGTTAATATGCCAGTAGTGTACACACATAGAATGCAAAACATTAAACTAACATGTTTGCGACTTGGGGGTCGCCTACGCCTACAGTAAAACAACATCAATATGTTTTCTATCCACTGTAATAATTTATATTTTTGTTGGAAAGACATGCCTACATTTCTAAGCCTTAAATACATTTAAAAATTCAACTGTGGGCACAATCATGTTTATTAGGAGAACAAATAGTCTCTTACCTGTATATAACCATGTATAAACGTTAGGCTATTTTATTATTTTCTCAGTTACAGCCTAAGGTAGCCTTAGTTTGAAATGGATTGTCTTCAGATAAAGTCTATAGTTTTTTTGTGTTCAGTTTTCCCACATTCTTCTCCCCTGTAATTCACTTTAGATAATGACTGTTGTGGAATGTTTAAAACTGGCCCAACCTCTAATTTATAATAATGTGTATGTGCGTATCTGTGTTTTAAAATGACCTGCAACTAGTCTACAGTGCAGCTCAGTTGGTAGAGCATGGCGCTTGCAACACCAGGGTTGTGGGTTCGATTACCACGGGGGGCCAGTATGAAAAAAAATTATGCACTCACTAACTGTAAGTCGCTCTGGATAAGAGCGTCTGCTAAATTACAAAAAAATGTTTAAAAAATACAGCCATTCTGTAGGCCACCTTTTACAATAATACGTGGGATTAAAATTGATTTAATTTTTTTGTCAATCTACACAGAATAGTCTAATGTCAAAGTGGAAGAAAATGTATATTTTAGAGATAAAAAAAAAAAAAGAATAACTAAAATATAGTTGTTGCATACGTATTCAGCCCCTTTCTTTTGGCAAGCCTTAATTAGTTCAGGAGTAAAATGTGGCTTTGCAAATTACATGTACTCACTGTGTGAAATAATAGCAGTTGACTTTATTTTTGAATGACTTACCCTTCCTCTGTCCCCCATACATACATCTATCTGTAAGGTCCCTCAGTCAAGTATTACATCTCAAACACAGATTCAACTACAAAGACCAGGGAGCTTTTCTAAAGCCTCATAAAGAAGGGCAGTGATTGGTCGACGGGTAACAATAACACATCAGACATTGAATATCTCTTTAAGCCGTGGTCAAGTTCACAATTATGCCGTGGATTACGTAATAAACCACCCAGACACAAAGATACAGTCATCGTTATGAACTGAGCTGCAGGAGAGGAATGAAACTGCTCAGGGATTTTACCATGAGGCCATTGGTGAAACCTGCTTCACACCAGAGACCGATGAATTCACATTTTCAGCAGAACAATAACCTACAACACAAGGCCAAATCTACACCGGCGTTGATTACCAAGAAGACAGTGAATGTTCCGGAGTGGCCTAGTTACAGTTTTGACTTATATCTTGCTTGAAAATCTATGGCCATACTTGAAAATTGCTGCCTAGTCATGATCCCCCAACATCTTGACAGAGCTTGAAGAATTCTGAAAATAATAAATGGGCAAAAATGCACAATCCAGGTGTGGAACGTTATTATAGACTTAGCCAAGAAGACTCACAGCTGTAATCGATGCCAAAAGGTGATTCTAACATGTATAGACTCAGGGAGCTGAATATTTCTGCAATGACTATTTTAGTTATACAATTTGTATTCATCTTAAAATTAAAATCTTCCACTTTGACATGAGTATTTTGTGTAGATTTGACATTAAAAATAACAATTAATCCCACTTTGTAACACAAAATGTGAAGAAATGCAAGGGGTCCCGAATACCTTTGCAAGGCAAACAAAAAAAATGATCTGACTTACTAAGCAGTTCTACGAGTGGTCTGAGGCAGTCATTAACGAGCGTTTTCAAGCGCAACTTCAGCAACTATAGTTTTGGGAAACCACTCGGATTTAAAAAGATGCTCCTACGAAAGTTCTAACAATGAATGTAGCCTTAAGATGCTTTTAGGAAACCGGGCCCAGGTCATTTAATAAAAAGTATTAAGGTGTAAATAGCCCTCACTTTAGATGAGGCCATACAAAACTGCTTTACTAAATGATTAGTAGTAGGCTTAAATGGTTTATAAGGACCTATATTAAAACATCTTATGACTGATTATTACATACTTCAAAAGTTGTTAATAAATGTGAATAACTAGCTAACATTTACAAAATGTGGGCGTAACGATTAATCAATGATGAATAAACGTACTAATATTCCATTTTAAATGCTTTATTACAATGTGTTATAATAAAGTGCTACCAGTGTGGTTACATGATTTGATTGTCCATATAAACTATCAATATTACTTCATTTGGCAACAATACATTCAATTCATTAAGTGCAACATTCTTCAAAACACCACTGTGCTAACCAGTGTAATACATGCAGATCTGTACCAAGTGTTTCCCCATCCCATTGCTGACGAGGAATGTTCTATCAAAAAATCTGTTCAGCAGGAGCTCAAAAAGATCCAGTGCATTATAGGTGTCCATTCCAAGATCATTATTCCAGGCTCAATAATAGTCATTTACATCCAGTTTTCTGATTATTACTTTTCACAAGTTTCCCAAATTTTCCTAAAACTTTCCCCAAAAGTATTTTTTTTTACTGCATGTGTCCATTCTGGTGTCCATTTTAGATGTTGGCGGTCCGAGGATTGGATCAGTGTAGTTTTCTCTGAGCGTCGGATCCCTCTCCCACCAGCTGGCTGCCATCTAAAAATCAATAATACTAATCAATACATTTCTTGATGTGATATAACATGATTAGGATGATCAGGTGTCATGGTACCTGGTGTTGGCTTAGAGAGAAACTGAAGAAGAGAGGGAGGATAGACGACAGAGGATGGATGACAGATGATACACGACAGAGGATGGATGACTAAAGTGAAAAAAAAATTAATATACTTGAGACGTGGCGGGAAAGAAAAGCCAAGTGACATTTACTCCTGATGTACTGACCTGTTGCAACCTCTGATTCTTATTTGACCCTGTCACCTATGAACGTTTTAACATCTTGGAGAACAATCTGGCCTTAATGGCCATGTAGCGTTATAATCTCCACCCGGCACAGCCAGAAGGGGACTGGCCACCCCTCAGAGCCTGGTTCCTTTCTACCCAGTACAGCCAGAAGAGGACTGGCCACCCCTCAGCCTGGTTCCTCTCCACCCGGCACAGCCAGAAGGGGACTGGGCACCCTTCAGAGCCTGGTTCCTCTCTACCCAGTACAGCCAGAAGGGGACTGGGCACCCTTCAGAGCCTGGTTCCTCTAGGTTTCTTCCTTTCTAGGGAGTTTTTCCCAGCCACCGTGCTTCTACATCTGCCATTGCTTGCTGTTCAGGGTTTTATGCTGGGTTTCTGTATAGCACTTTGTGACAACTGCTGATGTAAAAAGGGCTTTATAAATACATTTGATTGATTGAGTGCAGAAACCCTTACAAAAAAAGATTGCAGTTTCGAAACTGCAGTAAAAAGTGCAGTAACTGCAGTTGACTGTGGTATTTTGGACGCAGTGACTGCAGAATAACTGCAGTAAAAAATAAATAAACGTATTTCGGACCCAGTATTTGCTGCATTCTGCAGTTATACTGCACTCTGACTGCCATCTTTTTCATAAGGGAAGGATGAAGAGTGTGTGAGCTTCTCTTTAAACGCAACAGTGACTCTAGTAAGTGAAGTCAATTTTAACATTCACAGTGCATTTTCTCAGGCCAATCCCCTCGACTGCTAAATACAACAGTAAATGCATCACACACACACACTTACTGTGCGTGAGTCCGTGATGGAACGTTCCGGAGACCAGGGCGTCTTTGGAATGTTGTGACTGGGTCAGCGTTCCCATGGTTCCTGGTCCGAAGGCGGAGAGCGGGAAACCCAGGGCATGGAGTAGAGGGATTCCAGGAAGACCCGGAGTGGGTTTGTGTCCTGGAGTGTGCAAGCTCAGTGTTTCCTCGGAAACCTACAAACAATAAACAAACTATGGCACCCGATTCACTTTATAGTGCACTACTTTTGACCAGAGCCCTGGTCAAAAGTAGTGCACTACATAGGGAAAAAGGCTGCCATTTGGGACAAAGCCTATGAGTTTCAGAATCCTGAACTAACAAATAAACCAAAACGGCTTTATGCGTCACAACCACATTATAATGCATCCTACCTGTCTGTCAACTTTGAATAATGTGGTTATCCGTTTCTTCTTCTTCGGTGGTGGAGGAGGAGGGCGGCCGTTCTGGAGTGAAAGGTCCGGCGTCACTGCTAGGTGCCCCTGGGAAATGCAGTCTTTGTGGATCTGGCCTTGCGCCTGGTCAGCTAGCACGGTCAGAGGAGACTGGGAGTGAGTGTTCGGCTGAGGGTGTGTGTCGGTATTGGCTGACATGCCGACACGCACAGGCTTTAAATCACCGTAGGGGGTCGACACTGCGATGGGGAAACCAAAATCAGCCGCGTCACTCAGCCCAGCTAGCTCCTCCCCCACGACCCCTAAAGAGGGGGATTTGAGGATGCGACCCTGGTCCAGAGAGTCATCTAGATTCTGGGGGGTTGCGGATCCGCCCGAGCCCAGGAGAGGTGATCCGTTCTGGGGTTGAGCTCCCAGGAAAGTCTGAGGCTCCACAGGCCCGCTGGGGGTCCCTGGAAGGGTTGGAGCACCGTAGGACCGTTTCTTCTCTGACGTCAACTTCCTCTTCACTCTGTGGGAGGGAACACATTTTGTCTTCAGTAAAATTACTTATTGCACTCCTTACAAAAAAACAATTAGCATCTGTGTGATGCAGTCAGAGAGAGCTACAGGGAGTGCAGGCTTAAGCTCCCACCCAGCACCAACTCCCTGGTTCAGCTAATAAAGAGTTTGGTGGATGCTAACATTAAGATCTTTTTTTTTTACAAACAAAAAAATACTATAATTCCTCATTCTATGGATGATACTTACTGCTGTAGAGATGCAGTGGGGCAGTGGACTCTTCTACTCTCCTTTAGCAGCACTCTGAGGAACCAAAACATTATTAAAAGACGCATTAACAAGTACACAGGAATATTCTTAAGGTTGTGCCTGCGTGTGTGTGTGTGTGTGTGTGTGTGTGTGTGTACCTGGGCTGCATCCACCCTTTAGGCCAGAGGGGTTTGACCTCTGTATCCAGGAAAGCTTTGAGGAACTCCTCCGTCTCCGTGTTCCCCTTCTCTGCTTCCAGTCTGTCCATCCGCACCCGAACAGCACTGCACAGGCACTCCCTATAGAGCAATACAGGATAGTCACTGTCAGTGTTTATAAGTGTGTGTGTGTGTGTGGGGGGGGGGGGGGGGATAGAATGATGAGTAAACATTTAGAACAGAGAAAAATATTAATAAAAACAAGAAACCTGATCTCTTCGTTCCATCTGAATTTCTTCCTGGGGCCCACCACTCGTTTACCACTCCTCTCCTCTCCCTCCTCTTCTGATCCCGTGTTCTCCTTCTGCTCTCGCTCTTTACTCTCCTCCACCATCCTGGAACGGTCAGAGACGAGATAACCAGCCAGCCAGCCAGGTTAGATAACCAGCCAGCCAGGTTAGATAGCCAACCAGCCAGCCAGCCAGCCAGGTTAGATAGCCAGCCAGCCAGCCAGCCAGGTTAGATAGCCAGCCAGCCAGCCAGCCAGGTTAGATAGCCAGCCAGCCAGGTTAGATAGCCAGCCAGGTTAGCCAGCCAGCCAGCCAGCCAGGTTAGATAGCCAGCCAGCCAGCCAGCCAGCCAGGTTAGATGACCAACCAGCCAGGTTAGATGACCAGCCGACCAACCAGCCAGGTTAGATGACCAGCCAGCCAGCCACCAGCCAGGTTAGATGACCAGCCAGCCAGCCAACCAGCCAGGTTAGATGACCAGCCAGCCAGCCAACCAGCCAGGTTAGATGACCAGCCAGCCAGCCAACCAGCCAGGTTAGATGACCAGCCAGCCAGCCAACCAGCCAGGTTAGATGACCACAGCAGCCAACAGCCAGGTTAGATGACCACAGCCAGCCAACCAGCCAGGTTAGATGACCAGCCAGCCAACCAGCCAGGTTAGATGACCAGCCAGCCAACCAGCCAGGTTAGATGACCAGCCCACCAGCCAGCCAGCCACGCAGTTAGATGACCAGCCAGCCAACCAGCCAGGTTAGATGACCAGCCAGCCAACCAGCCAGGTTAGATGACCAGCCAGCCAACCAGCCAGGTTAGATGACCAGCCAGCCAACCAGCCAGGTTAGATGACCAACCAGAGCCACACACCAGCCAGGTTAGATGACCAGCCAGCCAACCAGCCAGGTTAGATGACCAGCCAGCCAACCAGCCAGGTTAGATGACCCAGCCAGCCAACCCAGCCAGGTTAGATGACCAGCCAGCCAACCAGCCAGGTTAGATGACCAGCCAGCCAACCAGCCAGGTTAGATGACCAGCCAGCCAACCAGCCAGGTTAGATGACCAGCCAGCCAACCAGCCAGGTTAGATGACCAGCCAGCCAACCAGCCAGGTTAGATGACCAGCCAGCCAACCCGCCAGGTTAGATGACCAGCCAGCCAACCAGCCAGGTTAGATGACCAGCCAGCCAACCAGCCAGGTTAGATGACCAGCCAGCCAACCAGCCAGGTTAGATGACCAGCCAGCCAACCAGCCAGGGTTAGATGACCAGCCAGCCAACCAGCCAGGTTAGATGACCAGCCAGCCAACCAGCCAGGTTAGATGGACCAGCCAGCCAACCAGCCAGGTAGATGACCAAGCCAGCCAACCAGCCAGGTTAGATGACCAGCCAGCCAACCAGCCAGGTAGATGACCAGCCAGCCAACCAGCCAGGTTAGATGACCAGCCAGCCAACCAGCCAGGTTAGATGACCAGCCAGCCAACCAGCCAGGTTAGATGACCAGCCAGCCAACCAGCCAGGTTAGATGACCAGCCAGCCAACCAGCCAGGTTAGATGACCAGCCAGGTTAGATGACCAGCCAGCCAGGTTAGATGACCAGCCAGCCAACCAGCCAGGTTAGATGGCCAGCCAGGTTAGATGGCCAGACAGGTTAGATGGCCAGCCAGGTTAGATGGCCAGACAGGTTAGATAGCCAGACAGGTTAGATAGCCAGACAGGTTAGATAGCCAGACAGCATGTCACCACACAGATTAGCAAAATCACTCCAAGTTGCAAATGAAGTTGACTAGGATGTATTATGCTGTGTGTTGATGATAGTTGCCATGGTGACGTACTTAGCGGCCCTGGCCTGGGCGTGGGCCTGGCAGTCGTCGTGGTAACTGGAGATCTGTTCCGGCATCACCTTGCTGATCGCCTGCCTCAACCTCTGGAGGGGCTCCTCCTAACACACAAACACACACTTGTGCCTGAACACACCACAGAAGAAGAGCTATCGCGTGTTACCGGTGTCGCATGTTACCTGTGTTTGCAGGAGTTTCTTGACCCGTTTAAGCAGTGTGTCTCTGCTGCAGGGGAGGAATGAGGCTAGGTGTGTGTACACCTTAGAACGCACCTGGCCACTCACATCTCTGCACTGCAGCTCAATGCTGAGGACCACACACACACATCACTCGTAAGGCTGAACATTGTTATGGACAATGTAAAAGAAAAGAAAACAGCCAACATAAAATCAGTTACACAAATTGTATAAGAAATGTTCTTGATAGTAGTTTAAACATGAAACCAAACCAAGTGACTTACTCCAGCAGGATAGTGTTGACCTCTGGGGTGAAGAACTTGACCTTTGACTCTCCCTCCAACCCCTTAGCAGCCTGAACAAGATCAACCAATACAATCAATCAATCAATGATGTGGCGCTCAACAACATCAGGGCACAGCATAACGTAAAGGCCAGTGTCTGATACCATACCAGGGCCAGATCTTGAATTCTCTTCTCCATGGCTGGTGACAGACCTTCAGGCAGGGGAGTGGGCTGGGCATGGGGCTGGACCTGCGGGCCAGAGATTGGCTGTGGCTGGGGCTGGGGCTGGGCATGGGGCTGGGCATGGGGCTGGGCATGGGGCTGGGCATGGGGCTGGACCTGCGGGCCAGAGACGGGCTGTGTCTGTGGCTGGGGCTGGGGCTGTGTAGATGGTTTTGGGGCCTGGGGCTTAGAGATGAATTCAGGGACAAGGTCAATCTGGTCCTGGGGTTGAGGGACAGGGTCGATGGGGGTCAGCTGTTTCTGGGTGTGGCTCTCAAGGGAGGAAGCAGAGGGGTCACCACTCAGTCCTGGAACAACAGTATATAGTGGATTATATTGTATGTTGTGACTTCAAATGTACCATTATCAACACAAAATAAATGTCCATGAAAATGGACAAAAGTATTGTAGAGTATCAAACCGTTCACTTCCTTGTAGGCCAAGGTCTTGGCGTTGACCTCCTGATTGGTTAAGGTCATGGCAACGACTACCTGATTGGCCAGCGTCTCAGCGGAGGCATCCAATAGGGTGTCTAGATCGAGGTCAAAGTCCACAGTGCTGGCTGCCTGGAGAAACGCCCTATCATTGGTTGATCCGATTAAGCTGAGCAGAGGGTCCGCCATGTTGGCCCCGCCACCAGCAGGGTCTGCAGAAACAAGAGGGGTTGTGGGTAGTGTAGTCATTGGAGATGCTCCTTGGATCTTCTCCAGACAGAGCTTCTGTTGCTCTCCCTCTTTCTCTCTTTTTAGTTTCTCTTTGTCTTTCTGTTTCTGGAACTTTCTCAACATGTCTGTGACACTCAGAGGACCAGCAGGCTTATTTTTCTTCTTCTTTTTCTTCTTCTTCTTCGGTTTCTCCTCCCACATGTTCTTGTCAGGTAGAACACTGGGGAAGAAAGAGCACAGAGCGCGCACACGGCGGGAGAAAGAGCGCGCACAGAAGGAGAGAGCAAGATTGCGCACAGAAGGAGAGAGGGGGAGCGGGTGCGCACAGAGAGAGCGGGCGCGCACAGAGAAAGAGAGCGGGCGCGCACAGAGAAAGAGAGCGAGCACAGAACGAGAACACACGAGCGCGGGAGAGAGAGACAGACAGAACACAGGAGAGAGAGAACATGGGCTGTATCAGACATTGATGGGTCCCTTTTCCTTCACAGTAAATGGACAATCTATGATCTACAGTTGTCAATCAACTGATCATCGATCAGTCAGTGGCTCACCCTGTGTTTGACACTGTAGGGTTTTCAGTCGCCACCTGTCCATCGTCTTTCCTCTTCTTCAGCTTCACTCCTCCCCCTTCCTTCCTGCGTTTCTGGAACAAAACAAAGAATGAAGTCTGAACTGGAACATTTTATATTCACAAACTCAATATAGTTATGATCATACATATATTGACCTCATCCCAAATGCCACCCTATTCAGAGAACACTCTGGTTAAAAGTAGTACACTATATAGGGAATAGGGTGCCATTTGGGACGCAGGCAGAGTTCCAATTACCTTAGGGGGCTTGGGTTGTTGGTTCTTGGTCACGAAGTCGTCGTCCGTCTCAGTATCGGAGGCCTGGCGGAACTGAAGCGGTCCGGAGTTGACATAGAACCCTCCCAGCTTGGTGTTCAGAGAGGCTGGGACCAACTCATCATACTGGAGAGGACATAAGGGGGTGATATTAAAATACTATACAATGGTAACCACCTGTGTATTTTAAAATTATAAACAATTAATATTTATACAGTATTGATGAGTATAAATTGACAGTATAAGCATAGGCTTACTGAGAGCTAAGTATCCATGCAACTATAACAAGGAAGCACTGCCTGCACACAGTAACATGATCATCTCAACCAGAAGAAACATGATCATCTCAACCAGAAGAAACATGATCATCTCAACCAGAAGAAACATGATCATCTCAACCAGAAGAAACATGATCATCTCAACCAGAAGAAACATGATAATCTCAACCAGAAGAAACATAAGTGAACCTACTGCCTCAGAGTTGTCGATGAAAGAGTCTTCATTGTCATAGCCATAGCCTATATCAACTAGATCCTGAATTCGATCCTTCTTCCGCTTGTTCCCACCTCCCTGGAGAGAGAAAGAGCAAGAGCGAAACACAGACAGACAGACAGACAGACAGACAGACAGACAGACAGACAGACAGACAGACAGACAGACAGACAGACAGACAGACAGGGGGTTCATCAAGGCAATAATACGGAATAGGGTGCCATTTGGGACGAATACAATGTTTAAAACAGTCTTAAGGCCAAGCACCACACAATAATAAGTTGTTTTTTCTTAATCTTATCACAATAAACTTTTACCAGTTTAATGTGGACAAATATAATACTTTTTTTGGTATAATTTGTTCTGAAATATTGTATTAAAGTACGCAGATCAGGTGATCATTAAATATTCGCCTATTTGCATATCACGCAAACACATTTCTGAACACTTGGATGAAGTCAGCCTAAATATTTTGGTTTCATTTTGTTACGAAATTCCAGGACCTGATTTACACATAGCCGAACGTGGATAAATACTTTTTCATCTCTCTTTCTATCTGTGAAATACTAAAGAAAGGTACGTAAAATGATATTTTTTGCGAATATTTCTGATTAATACGTCTTCTAGAATAAACAATTGACAACATATCAACAATTCCCTATGTATAAGTCTGGAGAATATGTCAAAGGATAACCACACAAAACGTCATTTTATCCTGTGGTGCCTGGCCTTAATATTAGGCTTGTAATACCAAATAAGATAAAACTCCACTCACATAGTTCTCCTCCAATTTCCTGGCAATAGCTTCAAGTTCATCCTTCTCAGTGTTCGGTACATCTTTGTCTAAAACGCTCTTCTGGAAAACAGTGCATTTATTATTTGAGTCAATGAAATGTATTTAGGATAATACATTTGGTTAGTTTCCTTGTTAATTTAAACGTCAATAATTGTTCAATCACACCGATTCTATCTGAACGGAGCGTCTTTCTTGATCACCTTTTTGTAAACAAGTTCAGGGTAGTGGAACTCAGGACAACTATGCTGGTCTGGTTCAAACAGCGTCAGGACAAAGCGTTCTGTTTTAACCGGTTTGGTTGGACTACCCTGAGAAGACGAGGTAGATGTGGCCACAGGTTGTTTGGTTGGACTGCCCCGGGAAGTTGAGGTAGACGCAGCTACTAGCGTAACGGTGAACGCCTCTTTAGGGGGAAACTCTGGTTTAACCACCACTGCTGACTGCAGGGGGACATTACTGGACAGCGTGGTCAGCTGAACTCTTCGTGATTCAGCCATGGCAGCGAACAATAGTCTATTGGAATGTCCGCGGCCGGCTGAATTAGTAGCTGGCCAAATAACTTCAGTGGACACAACTCCCCGCCCCTAATCAGCAGCATCAGGTGTTCCAATGCATTTCACCTGGGCTGCGTAGTACGACAAAACCAATTGCAAACAGAGAAGAAGAGGTGAAGCGAGAGGATTTACTCCGCCCAAAATCTGTGCGCGTGAGATAAGACCTTTTTTGTATGGAGGTCTAAGAGAGAGTGTCGAATTACCTGAGGCTTATTTAATAAAATAGTAGTTTCGTAATGTTTAGGCTGTTACAAATTTAATGATATAAGTGAATACACGTGGCATTTGGGCAACTTTAAGAAAAACAACTTAGTTGTGCCTGATGTTCACATGCATATCTGCCCTCTCATTGCTTAGAATGGTCCCACCTGATCTCACCTGCCTTCAATCATTGGGAAACACTATTTTCAGGGCACTTTGATACCTAATTGACTTTTTCGTAGCGGGTTAGAATAATTAACGTAGCAGGTTAGGAGACTAAGGTTAAGGTTAGTGAAAATGCTCACCTAACCTGCTACGAAAAGAGTGTGTCCCTTCAATAATTGAGGACATGTAGTTCTATTGTTAGTGGTCAATCGGCTATCTTGTCAATATAATTACAGTGGAGGCTGGCTCATAACAATGGCTGGAACGGAGCAAATGGAATGGCATCAAACACATGGAAACCATGTGTTTAATGCATTTGATATCCTTCCACTAATTCCGCTCCAGCCATCACCACGAGCCCGTCCTCCCCAATGAAGGTTCCACCAACCTCCTGTGATATAATAGAACATCTTTGCTGCATCATTCAATTAAACGGAAACAGTGCTGTTCTGAACGACCAGTTGAAAAACGGGGCGGTTGAGGAACTCTTCTTCGTTGGGGTTTTATGACGGTGTGCATACCGATATAAGGTGCCACCTACTGGGCTGGAGTGTGATGTTCTAAATTCTGCACTCTAGTCCAGGGTTTCTCAAACTTTTTTTTGGCCTAGGGACCCCCGCCGAGGCAAACTGGCGCCCATTATATGTTAGAAGAAAAAACGTTACGTCTTGTCTTATCGTCCGGTGAATGATAATGGCAAGTAGAAGTAATCAACATTTTAAAATGAACATATTTGGTATACAGTTTCATTATTTTGACCTCCCCACAGTTCATTGGAAGAGGAACTCTAACATAGTATATTAGCTAGAAAGGTATCTTGGCGACATAGAGAAAATGTTGCTGTCATAAACCACATTTTCTGCAATTCTAAAAAAATATATATATATATTAAGCAGAGATTGTTTTTTTTTGCAGTTTTGAAGCTAATTTCCAGCAATTCTATGCATTTTGCCATGGCTAATGCTGTGTTCCTTTGTTCAAACATTATAAGAAAATCAATGGGCGTTTTTTATTTTATTTTCGATTCTCCCTGACTGTTTAGCTTTTATTTGATTGTTAGTTCTCAAAGATGGTATTATTTAAAAATATATATATATATATAGTTCAATGCATGCTTTCTATCCAGTTGTAGTAGTTTAAATTGACACAAACAGTTTTTCCATCCCAAAAATGACCACTTACCAGACAGCCTAAGAAATTTCTATACAGAGAAAAACATGTAATTAGCTCTAATGACTGTAATTTCCTCCATATTAAAGGGATAGTTTGAGATTTTGGCAATGAAGCCATTGATTTACTTCCCCAGAGTTGGATGAACAGGAACAGCTAGCATACCCCCCTGCAGTAACTCCGTGGACGCCAGTTTGAAAACCCCTGCTCTAGTCAACATGAATGGAGGGAAGGAAATTATTGCCGATTTTAATTACAGTTTGTTCTGGACTGGTTTTGAGAAAGTTGGAAAGGGTTAAAGCTTATTCCGAGGGCTGTGGGTTGGGGAATGCTCCCCGCTGCCATTTAAATATGTCACTCATTGCTTCAAGCCACAACCCGCCAAATGGAACAAACAAAGTGTGTTCTAGAACGTTGAAAACGTTTTGGCGGAACGTGTCATTCAATACAAACCATCACGCAACATAGCGAACATTTAATCAAAAGTTGAATTGAACTGAACACACCCCTGGGGTGTAGGCATAGAGATGGAAAGAGCTCTTATCGTTGTATCTGTGCCATTATAGTGTCTGTGACAGCATAATGGGCAGCGCCATTGAGGTTATCTCAATTTTATCGCCAATTTTCTTATTCTTTTGTGTTTGAAAAAAGTGTAAAGCTAATATTGGTGATTTACAGCCACCTGCAGTGCTGGAGTCCTGAACCAAATATTGTGTGTCATTCACTTATTGTCAAATCAAATCAACAACAAAAAAATGCCACATACGCCGAATACAACAGGTAGACCTTACAGTGAAATGCTTACTTACAAGCCCTTAACCAACAATGCAGTTTTAAGAAAAAAAGTGTTAAGTAAAAAAATAGATAAGTAAAAAAAATATATATAATCATACTTGATGGCGATGATAAAGCTTAAAGCCATTTTCACACCAAAGCATCCTATTTTAAGAAGAAGACAATGCTCATATCCAAAGATGATTTAGATATATTGACAAGATAGCAGAGTGACCGCTCTAACAATGGAAATACTTGTCCTCAATGATTGAAGGAAGGCGAGATCAGGTGGGACCATTCTAGACAAGGACAGGGCAGATATGCATTTGAACAAAAGGCACAACTAAGTTGTTTTTCTTAAAGTTGACGGAATGCCAATGCGCATCCACTTATATCAGTACATTTGTAACAGCCTAAACATTACGAAACTTCTAATCGATCAAGTAAGCCTCACGTAATTCGACACTGGGTTTATCTCACACAGACAGATTTTTGGGCGAGTAAATCCTCTTGCTTCGCCTCTTCCTCTCTGTAGTGTATATATGGCTGAATCCACCACTTCATTGCTCATGCATCATGTACATCTTGCTAGCTGTCACTCATATGGCGAGGGGCTGAACCTCATTGGTTGAACTCAAATTGCTAGGGGGAAATGTAGGGAAAATGGCGCAGCACAGCTTCCAGAAAAACAGTGGCTTTCAAACTAGGGATTTTGTGGCTAATTGAGGTGAAACAGTAATTCTGCTAATAGATTATGCATGTATGAACTACACATTGACACATCCAGCCCAAAGCAGGAAGTTGAACAAAGAGTTAGTAGTCACCAAAGTTCCTGAGCATGTCTTTAATGGCACTGTCCATGCTAAAATGGTTTATATCCAAGTTGAGTCGTCTAACTGTCTCTCTGAGTTTGGCCTAGTTCGCGCTTCAGCTTTCATCAGGGCGTGACCCCATTGCGTGTTTGCATAACACCTGTCTTCCACTCCTCACGAGAGGGGTTAATTGGGGGTCAAACAGACCATGGTGTTTTCCACTAGTTACCACAGCTACAAAGTCATATCGTAAAGATTCATGAAAACAAATATGATTTCTTTCTTTGGTCTTCATTTTAGGTTAGGCACATGGTTAGCAGTGTGGTTAAGGTTAGGTTTAAAATCATATTTTAAGAAGATACATTGTAGAAATGGGCGTGGTTTATGACGCTGTGACTGTGGTAACTAGTGACCGAAAATGGTCGGTTGTTTGTCAGGTGAGCGCGGTAAGAAATCATACCTTTTGATCCTATCCTTCTGGTGGCAGTAGCTCGAGCTTGCTCCGGAGCTAGGTCGAACATGAGGGCTACCCGCCTTAACCACCACCGTTACAACATATGTATCCTGTACTTTTTCGTATTTTTCTTCTGTTCTACGTTTACCCGAGCAGACGGGAAAATGGCCACCATTCCTACCAATCCCTCTGCTTCGTCACAATCACAACTCGGCGGGAGATTTCGCCGAAATCCCCATAACTCTAGGCAGAAAAGCCAGCAGGAGCCGCTTCACAGGCTGCTAACAGAAGCGCAGAAGGCCGACCAGAACTTACAATATATGTTAAGTTTGTATAAGAGCGCGGCCGACCCGGATGGGATGCCAAAACAGCATCGGCTGTTCGGGTCGAACACAGTGCGTTTGCTGCGACCCACCACCACCCAGGTGTGGTCTCTGACAGCGTCTTCAGGTGAGACACACACACACACAGTGTGTAAGATAACAAGCGGTTATCATCCTCCAGGTTTTGTCCACCTGATTATATGAAATTACAGTGGTAAGAGTAGGCCTGTTGTGCAACTGTTCATTGTCATTCATAATAACAATTTATAAACCGTTATGTAGGCTATAGGTTATGATGGGTATTGGGTATGCGCTATGGATTAGAATAGTGTCGGTTACCTTGATCTTTACAACGGTTTGTTGTTATGGTGACACCTGACCATTTCAATTTAGAAGTGTATCAGGTCAAAGATGAGAGGAAGATATTAAAGCCTACCACTTGTCATCTCTCCCTCAACTCTCTCCATCTACCTCCTCTCAATCCTTTCTACCTCCCCTCCCTCTTCATCCTCTCTTCCTGATTCCATTCTCTCTCTCTCTCCCTCCAGTCCTGCGCTACACCTACACAGTGGAGTATGACCTCCAATCCCTCTCCCTGGAGCAGCTAATGGGAGCCTCCTTTGTCCACCTCCGTACTTCCAGGACGCCCCACCCCTTCCCTCTCCGCTGCAGGGCCAGAGTCACCTCTCTGGGGCATGATAGCTGGACAAGCCCCCCTGGAGGTCTGGGGCGCCTGGTCACCCTGGAGCCGCATCAGCAGTGGACAGAAACTGACATCACAGAGCACCTCACCACACAGGTGGTAACGCTGACCCAGGGAAGGCCAAAGCAAGGGAGTCACCTGACCCTCTCGGCCCAGTATTGGTGCTTGGATCCTGGGCATCGGAGGAGCGAGGCCTGGGGCGGCCTGTGGAGGAGCAGAGGGCGAGGGGGACACAAGAGGGGGAGGAGGGCAGCCTCCGAAAATCACCTCAACGCCCCCGCTCTCCTCCTCTTCATCAATGAAGAGGAGGAACACAGAGAGTGGAGGGCAGCGACCCGAACGGGGGGGTCCGGTTTGGGGGGATCCGACTCTGGAGCCCCACCACTTCTCCGCCCCCCGACCCCGTCGCTCCAACGGCCCTAATCCCCCCAGGCAGCATCGTCTCCTGACATCCCCAACTACCGAAAACACAAGAAACCCTCACCCAAGAACCAGTGCAAGCTCCACTCCTACCGGGTCACCTTCGCCGCATTAGGCCTGGTCAAATACCTCGCCCCACACCAGTACAACCCTGGCTACTGTAAAGGAGACTGCCCCAGAATCCTCCACTACGGCCTCAACCCGTCCAACCACGCCATCATGCAGAACCTGATTAAAGGGAAGGGGATGGAGGAGGTGCCGTCGCTGTCCTGCGTACCATATAAGTACAAGCCCATTAGTGTGCTGATGCTGCTGGACGACAACAAGACAGTGGATTATAAGGAGATCCCTGACATGATAGCTGAGTCCTGCACCTGCCGGTAGTTAGAGAGATGGTGGGTGGGTGGGGGGTAGTTAGGAGCGCTGACCCCCCCTTACACACTTGCTGCTAGTTAAAGACATTTGGGGTGGGGAGGGGAGGTAGTCAGGGGGGAGGCCGATCCCCCCTCTTCATTACACGGTAGAGACTGGGGCTTAGCTTACCCTCCCTTTCACGTCTGTCCCTCCTAACCCTGAGTTTGCTAGATCCACCTCCCTCCCTCTTCACACTCAGCACTGGCTTCAGCTGCCCCATATCACATTGAACCTTTTGGAGGAAAGAGACCGAGGGAGGGAGGGAGGGGTAGCTTGGAGGGGGGTTCCACAAAAACAAAACACCTCATTACCTTCTTTAACATGCTCTGTGTACAGGTCTATATATTACAATCACTGGACTAGTAAATAAGTCATATGAGACTGAAGGTGCTCAGCTTCGCTTTGAACCGTTTGGAGGGGAGGGTGGTGGGGAGAGAGAATAACTTAAGCCCCCGGGCCACACCACCCAAAAGCTCTGTGGGTAGTGAAGTCTAATGTGCCAATGGTCATGTGATGATGAAATGGTGGGCTGTACGAATGTTGATGCGTGTACAGGAAGGGTCGATCCTGGCGTTCTGCTTAAACCAATCGGTGTTTGTTTGTTTTTTTCTGTCTCTTTTTTTTTTTCTTTTTAAAATCTTATCAATGCTTGACATCTGGACACAGGAAGTGAGTGATGGAACCCATAACCTGATTGGCCGAGTGAGTGAAAGAACACACAACGTGATTTGCCAGAGACTAAGCTTCGTAAGATATGTACATATTTGGAGACACACACTTTGTGTCGTTGGCATGTTGGGCCCCTCTAACAGTTTGGGTGTCTGCCCTAAAATAAAAAATAAATAAAAAAAAAGCATTTTAAAATATAAAAAAAATGGTCGCCAGCCTTTTTCGGTGCCTCTCTAGTATATTGAGCAATGGGAAATAAAATGGCCTTAAGCACTCGATGGAGTCTTGCTAGACTTGAGGTGTGTTCAAAATGGCACCATATTCCTTGTAGTGCACTACCTTTGACCAGGACCCATAGGGTAGTAGTGCACTACTTAAGGAATAGGGTGCCATTTGGGACATAGCCTTAAGAGTTTGCTGCTTCTTTCCGAAACCACAGATTTTGCAAATATTTCTGGGCTGAGGGTGTGGCCTTCCCAAGCGGAAAAAGCAGGCAGAGGGAGGGAGGATAAGACCCAGTGCAGTATCACTAGCGTGTCTCAGGAAAGAAACCAGGGAAAGTGCAATGTGTCTTGGGTATTTTTCAGGAGTGTGTCTTATGAATGTATAGCTAAAAGTCTTGCACTGAAATTATTGTAATGTTTTATTATAATTAATGAAAATAAGTAATAAAATGAATATTTTGTAAAAAGATGACATTTGGTTTTGTTTCTTAACTCTAGTTGGATGATAGTGCCCCTAATGTTGAATTGACATTGGTTTTGTATTCTAATGTGACAGGGATTTAAAAAAGTTTTCGGTCTGTTTCTTGGACACAGAATTTAGCCTATTGGACTAAGAAGCATTTTGAATGGTGACTCCATTTTAACATTATTTTTTTGTCCAGGGCTAGTCTCAATCTGTGTCTTAGAAACCAACCCTTTATATTAATGACTTTACCATGTTGCCCTTTTATGTAGTTCAGGGTTGTTGTCCATGTTGCATGCTGGAGTGGACAAAATTGCCAATGTTATATTAAGGGTTGATGGGCAAGTACTTTAGATATTTGTTAATTTAGGGCCTAAGGTTAGGGTTGGTAGGTTGTTTTCACATTTTATTTGAACCCATTTCTGTCCCATCTTTTGAATTTGGCATTGTAGCCTATATACACTGAGTGTACCAAACATTAAGAACACCTTCCTAATATTGAGTTGCACCCCCACCTTTTGCCCTCAGAACAGCCTCAATTTGTCGGGGCATGGACTCCACAAGGTGTCAAGCGTTCCACAGGGATGCTGGCCCATGTTGACTCCAAAGCTTCCCACAGTTGTGTCAAGTTTTCTTGTTTTTCTTTTTGGTGGTGGACCATTCTTGATACACATGGGAAACTGTTGAGCGTGAAAAACCCAGCAGCGTTGCAGTTTTTGGCACACTCAAACCGGTGCTACTACCAAACCCCGTTCAAATGCACTTAAATATTTTGTCTTGCCCATTCACCCTCTGAATGGCACACATACACAATCCATGTCTCAACACTTAAAAATCCTTCTTTAACCTGTCTCCTCCCCTTTGTATACACTGATTTAAGTGGATTTAACAAGTGACATCAATAAGGGATCATAGCATTCACCTGGTCAGTCTATGTAATGGAAACAGCAGGTGTTCATAATGGTTTGTACACGCTTGTATATTTTGCTGTTGCTGCAGATGACTTTCACCTGCAGCAGATGCCTTTCACCCACAGAGGGTGCTGTTAGTGTCATTTAAACCAAGGTATCACGACTTCTCTCCCACACAACTCAACTGCTATAGGCCAGCTGGGTGAAATGTGCCAGTGCTGTCCCGTATAGAATGACACCATTGGTTCTTAAAGACCTTGGTACTCTAAAAGTCAAATGAGGACTGGCACCTTTTTCATACCACTTCAAGCACTGCTATATGTTAAAACAAAAGTGTATATTTAGAGCAGGGCTTTCCAACCCTGTTCCTGGTTTTACTGACTTTGGCAGTGCATGGCCGGATGAACCAAGTCTTGGGCCCTGGGAAGGAACCTTTTAATGGTTCATCTCTTGGCATCAGAGAGAACATTTTGCAGTTTTCAAGCAGATTTCCTGTAATTCTACACATTTTGTCATGGGGCAGATATAAAAAGTATTGAGTTGAAAAATGTATAATTGGTAAAGTGCTGTGGATACCGATATTCCTGTGAGCCTACCAGGCCCATGTTGCCCAGGGTTAATACATTGTAGATTAATAATATTGTATAGTATTACACCTTCTAAACCTATTCCACTATTTTAATCTGTTAGTAATATTCATAATGTTTTATGGATCTGGCCTCGGACCGCCTTCAGTACCTCCGCAGACCCCTGTCTTGAAAAATACATGTTTTATATCAGTAGGACCACCTGGGTAAGGAACGGATTATGACTAAAAAACAGTATGGGACAGGTTCCCGGACACAGATTAAGTCCTGGACTAAAAACCTATTTCAACTGAGAAGTTCCATTGAGCATGCTTTTTAGTTAGCACAAACAGACTGGTACCCAGGCTATCGTTCCACTCCCGGCCATTCCTGTCCACGTCCAGCCCAGTTCCCAGGCTATCGTTCCACTCCCTGCCATTCCTGTCCACGTCCAGCCCAGTTCTGGTCATCTCCAGCCGGGACAGAGGGTACTGAAGAGGATGGTCCGTACGATCCGACTGTGGAGGTTTTTAATAGATTCATCCTTTCCCATTAGCTGTTTTAGTTATCCCCTGTCCCTGTCACAGCATGGGTCACACACACTCACCCGTGTGATCAAATGTAGTGCGCTATATAGGGAATAGGGTGCCATTTGGGATGTAGCATCTCTCTTGTTATCCGTCTATGAATTTGAGACAGGTTACATATACAATTTCTCCAGTCCCAACTCACAGCTGTTTACCAAAACAAGTGGCAAGGTGGCCCTTTGGTTGTTTTACGAATCTCACACTATAACTTCAAATGTACTTTCTAGCTCTCCCCACTTCTTTTGGCTAGTGTCAGAGACTCCGGCTGGGAGTTTACAACAGTGGAATTAGTTTCAAATAAATATTTTTTGCCATCGTGCTGCTTATCTCAGAAGATTCTCATGTAAATGTGGTTCCTGAGACATCAAACACTTACTGGCATTGTGAGATAATCAGATTATATGTTAATCTGCGCAGTGCGACTGCAATAAAGATGACCTGAAACGCACCTAATGACAACAGTGTTCTTTGTCCTGGCCTGATGCCTACTGATGACTCTTGAATCAACCCTGCAGACAGTCAGCTGGGAGGGAGTCTGACAGAACTCCTACACAAATAACACAGCAAAGGTCAATTACATTCCTGTAGCACCCAGAGAGAGAGAGAGAGAGAGAGAGAGACAGAGAGAGAGAGAGATAGGCAGAGACAGGAGAGAGATGGAGAGATAGAGAGAGAGAGAGAGATACAGCCTAAGAGAGAGAGATATATAAAGAGGTAGTAGAGAATGGATAGACGAGAACAGAGAGAGATAGAGAACCGGAGAGAGAGTAGAAGTATCGAGGAGCGAGGATACAACAGTATATATGGTATGACTGTCTTACTCTCCCTCTCTCTCTCTCGCCCTCTCGCTCTACTCTATCTCTCTCTCTCCCCTCTCTCTCTCTCGTCTCTCTCTCCCGGCTCTCTCTCTCTCTCTCTCTCCTCTCTCTCTCTCTCTCCTCTCTCTCTCTCTCTTCCTCTCTCTCTCTCTCCTTCTCTCTCTATATATCCCCTCTCTCTGCGATCTCCCTCTCTTCTGCTCCCTCTCAACTCTCTATCAGATTCTATACCTTCCTCTAGATTCTATAGTTACTCCCTATCTTTCTCGCTCTCTCTCCGGCTCTCTCTATCTCCCTTTATCTCAAGTCGATCCGATCCTGCGCCCTCTCCCTCTCCTCTCCTCTCTCTCTCTCTCTCTCCCTCTCTCCTCTTCTCTTCTCTCTCTCTCTTATTCTCTATATTATTTAAATTTCTGAATATTCCTGCAAGTGACATACACTACATGACCAAAGGTATGTGGACACCTGCTCGTCGAACATCTCATTCCAAAATTATGGGCATTAATATGGAGTTGGTCCCCCCTTTGCTGCTATAACAGCCTCCACTCTTCTGAGAAGGCTTTCCACTAGATGTTGGAACATTGTTGTAGGAACTTGCTTCCATTCAGCCACAAGAGCATTAGTGAGGTTGGGCACTGATGTTGGGCGATTAATTCATCCCAAAGGTGTTCGATGGGGTTTAGGTCAGGGCTCTGTGCAGGCCAGTTAAGTTCTTCCACACCGATCTCGACA